TCCAATAACGGCATGTTGCTCATGACCTGGTGGGGCTTGTGAGACCCTGGGCAGCGCCTGGAGACCCAGACCTCACAAGGAGAGTCCCACTGCTCTCTGCAGAGTGGCAAGAGCAGCCAGCACACCAGCTGGAAACACTCCTCGCTCCACCCCACACCTGCCCCTGGCAGGGGAGGTCAAGGGCTCAGCTCCCCCAAGGGCTGGATCAGGGAGGGGGGATTTACCCTCATCCTCTGTGCTACTGTGTTCCTCCTGGGCTCTCTGGGGCAAGGAGGAGGAATAGGCAGAGAGAGTTTGAGCCCAGGCAGTGCCAACCTACTGCTCTGTAACCCTGGAGGGGTCCCACTGTAGAAGCACAATTTGGGTGCTCATCGTCACCCCTGGAGTGGTCCAAGTCCCCTTGCAGAGGGAGCCAAGGACACCTCCTTGTTTTTCCTTAGCCCCATGGACAAGCACAGCTCCAGGGACATGTAGGCAAGGAGGGGGGAGACAAATTATGTTCAACAGAGCTGGTGCCACTGGGGCACTGCCCCATACCAAACTCCCCATACAGGTGGCTGAGCAGTGCCACAAAACCCCTCGGTAAGAAGCAGAACATCTATGACTGGGTCTGGGTTTTAGGGTGATGGTGAATCTCTTGAAGCCTGCGGTTTCCCACATTATTCCTAAAATCTTCCCAGATTTTGTCCCTAAGCCTGGCTGGCTTTGAGAAGGCAGAGCAAAGTGGGGCTGGGCCACGCTGAGGCATCCTGGTGGATTCTGACTAGGAGGTTTGTGCCGGAATCCTGAGAAACGGTCTCCTGAGAGCCATAGTGGGACATTTCAGGCAGGGATTTCCCACCAGTTAGCACAGGGGTGTTGGGAAAGTGAGTGGGGATGAGGTATCAAATGTCCTTGGGGGGTTGGCTCCAGCCAAAGCCTTCCAGCGGCACTATCTGGATGCGGGGCAGACATCGGGCTGTGCCGAGGTATTCCTGGGGAGTTGGGTGCATCCTGTCAGAGGTTTGTCCCAAGGTAACTGGGTCTGCTAGATAAACACCTCGCGGCTTCTCTGATCGACAAACCTTTGGGTTTCCGGTACACACGAGCACAAGGTGAACTTTCGGTGGATATTTTCTGCTACGAGCGGTTCTGCAAGCGCGTGCATGAGTCACTTCACCCACCCCTGTCACCAAAAGAACCGGTCACACGAGTCCAGACACTCATGCATGTGTGAGCGCTCGCAGGATGCCACTGTCCCTCCATGCTCCTGGGGTCACCGGCACCGCTCCATCCCTTACTGGGCTCTCCGCGGGGATGCCAGCAGCTGACCTTGGCCAAAGCTGGCCCTTCCGGTGCACATTTGGAGCAAACAGCACTAGAAATCAAGTTCTCTGACTCCAGGATTAAGACATAATTTTTAAATAGCTCATTTGATATCCTTGCTGGTTTATTTGTTTAATAAAAGCACTTAGTTAGCTGGAGTCCCAGGCTCCTGGGGCTTTCGTTTCTCTGCAGAGGAGATAAGAAAAGCGCATTTCCTTATCCAGTGAGTCATTTTTTCTGCTCTTTAATTATGCATTTGTGCTATTATCAAGCGTATTCAGCTCTTAGATGCAAACAGTTCAGACTACTCACAAAGCCTTAACTTTTGCTGCTCCAAAACTGATCAACCGCTGTTATGAAGAGCAGGGGAGGCAAAGACGGGGGAGCTGAAGGAGAGAACGGCCGATGCCTGGAGCTCGCAGGGCAGCTTGGGCCACGCTGGTGAGCAGGCACACGTGCGAGTGCTGCTGGGGAAGTCAGCAGCGATTTTCTCCATGAGTAAGCGTTATCATGTGTGAATTCAAACATCGTTTTCTTGGCCCAGGAGGAAGCAGACAGGCCGGGAAGGGAGCATCAAAGAGCTGTAGAGGGGGATAAAGAGGGCTTAGAAAATGGGAGGGAATAGGGTAAGATCAATTGCGGTGATGAGGCTGCAACATCTTTCCACATAACAGGACCTGGGAACATTTTATTCTCAGGAGGACATTACGCCTGCCATCTCCGGGCTCCCCGCCATGCATTCCCAGCTTCAAGTTTTCACTCCAGGTACCAACATGGGAGCCATCAGCTCCTGAGCTCTGTGCCAGCTCTATGAGCACCTCACCCACTGTGTCAAGAGCAACATGTGGACACCTCAGTTTGGGTTTTCCCTGGTGCATGTATTTGACTGGAGGGGTCACAGAGTTAATCTGTAAGCATGGTACAGCAGGTGCCAGGCCCCATTTCCCCCCCTCTGTTAAGCCAAGCATGGAGGGGAGAGGGGAGGGAGAGGGGCAGGGTGAGAGTGCTATGGCAGGTCCCACAGGAATAGAGGCTGGAGTTCACCGAGAGATGACTGACGTGGGGGAAGCACAGTGCAGGAATTTCAGGGGGGAAAGGTGAGAGGGGGATGATAGAGAAGACTCCTCATTTGGGAAAAGGAGACTAGCAGGTGGAAACACCCCTGGGCAACAGGAAGAGCAAACTTTTTGGAGAAGGGAGCTGTTTCAGGGGCAGGTGTCCCGACAGAGCGCTGGCTGTTTTGTGGGGGTCCTCTGCCTCCACGCATGGCTCTAGCCCCGTCAGCCCACAAGGCAAGAGTATTTCCTCTCCTAGTCCCTAACCTTATACTTTTGCAAGCTGCCTGCCAGGGACAGTGAGGGCTCGGGATGCCCTCTCCTCCCTGGGGCTCTCTGCTGTGGTGTGATCCTGGAGTGAGCCTGGGCTTTTCTTCTGACCCATCAGCCCTTCCTGTTGTGGCTTTCTGAACCCCGGACATGCTCCCGGTATGCCCTCCCACTGCGAGCACCCCCCTCCTGCTCCCATGCTTGCACCACATCTCCGCTCCTCTCCCGGGGTGCACGTGAGACGGGAAGCTGGGTGAGGTGGGAGAGGAAGAGATGTCCTCCCCTGGTAGGTACCTCTGCAGGGGCGAGCGCAGCCTGTTCAGCTCCAGCATCGAGGCGGAGGGTGCCAAGCTGGCCGTGCTGCTCGTGGCTTCGGAGCTCGCGGCCACGCTGAGAGAGGGAAGTTCCTGGTGTGCCCCTGCTTGCTTGGGGAGTTTTACTTTGACTAAGATGGAGGGGGAATAACTGAGTCACAGGTGCAGGAATGGGCGCCGGGCTCTCGTGGCTCCTTGGAGGAGCCCGCAGCCCCCCAGGCTTGTCACGGCCATCCCCGCCGGCACAGCATAGCCGGGCAGGGCGCTCCCCAGCAGCCAGGCACGTGTGCACGTGTGCGAGGGGCGAGGGAGCAAGCGGCTGGGCACGCCGTCTGGAAAGGGAAGTGAAATCGCGGCGGGCGTGGAACTAGTGGGCAGCAACCAGTTTTGGTTGGGACTTTCACTCACCCGGAGCCCTGCAGTGCCCAATGGGGAGGGCTGAGATCTGCTTGGGCTGCTTCAGCACTGCCCTGGGCCAAGCCACTTTCCCAGGATGCTGCTGACAGGGACGGAGATGTGGATGGGGTGCTGGGAGGGCCTCAACATAGGGCAGCTCCTGCCCTGTGGGGCATGGGGTACTGGAAAGCTGTGCTGGGTCTGCAACCCAGCACAGGGAGCTGGTGCCTGCATCCCACTCAGGGCTTCAGGGGGTGGGGCACGGAGGCTGTGGGCTCAGCTTGCCCAAAAGCCATTGGAGAGGTGCAAGTGTAACCAGGGACAGTCCTCAGTGGAGCTCAGTTATCCAGTGGGGATGCCTGGTGCTCTGCCACCTTGAGCCAGGGCATCCTTTGGCTTTTCTCCTCCTCTCCTCCCAGCCTCAGTCCAGGACAGTGAGTGGCAGAGACCTCACCAGAAAGAACCCAGAGGCCATAGCTGCTGCAAGGATGGGACTCCAGCAGTAAAGCCCCATTAAGGCTCTCCTGGCCAGGACAGGTCTCCTGCGCTGCTTCCTTCAGCTGAGAGCAAGACAGCAACTGTGGCTGGTCACTCTCTTCCTATGAGGTGAAGAAAAAGGGAATATGACTTTTGTTTGGTAAGGATGGAGAAGAGCCACCTACAGCACTGAAATCCATCACTTACCCACTTCAGATCTCAAGCATCAGGCTTTGACATGTGGGTATAGGTGGCAGGACGTTTCTCCTGATCAGGAGCAGCAACACCTAAGACCATTAAGGGTCTATTTAGTCCCTTCCAAGGGTATGGGGACCAGAGTTGCTTGGTGTGACCTGCTTTGCCCATGCCCTGGGCAGTTACCATGCAAAGCCAGATCTGAATCCAGAGAATGAGACATGGTGCCAAGGGGCTGGGAGGGTCCTTGCCGTGGGTCTAGGTCTGGGACAGAGAAGATGGTGAGAGAAAGGTGATAAAGAGCATCATCATTAGCAGGGATGGAGAACACGCACCAGTTGGCCTGCCCGCGCAGCAATCACTAGCAGGCTGTGTCCCGGGGGCAGTGGAAGCTTTTAAAAGGGGAAACCTTGGTGCCCCTACACTCTTTTCTCCTCCAGTCCTTTTCTGCTTTTTCCATCCAAGGATTCGTGGTGTGGAATGGGACCTTGTAAAGAACTGGTCACAGGAAAGCCCCCTGTAGGCACTGGAGGCTGCCAAGGGGGCTTTTTGCCAGCCAGCAAGGGAAGGTGCCGGCTGGGGCCATGCTTGGGCTGGAGGTGATGTACGGGTGGGCTAGGGAAGGGTGAGGACCAAGGAGGTGATATCGCTGTGCTGGGGCGCTGTGCTGCTGGGCATGGGGTGCTGCGTGGCTGGGGTACGCCAGGGGCTGTGGGGATTTCAGAAGCATATTTTGGAGGAGAGGGGTAGTTTGAGGGCGTGTTGCACAGGCAGGCAGGGGTAGGGCTTGGGTGCTCACTCTCCTCCTCCCCACTGAAGATCCGCCCCAGGACAAGCGCAGCGATCACAAGCCCCAAGGGAGACGACACAGCTTGACAGACTGTATCTCCCTCTGCCACAGGCCCCGGGGCGCTGCGATTTCACACTCGGGCGGCGGCCCCTTCGCCGCAGTGCCATGCGGGAGCCGAAATCTCACTCCCACTCCGCCATGTCCTCGTCAGGAAAAGCCACTGCTGCCTCTTCCTGCCTCTCCTCCCAGTGCTTTGACATCCTGACCAGGTCCTGCGTCAAGTGCTCCGACTTGTTCAGGGACAACACAAGTAAGGGGATGAGGGCGGCCAGGGACCAAGCTCCCCGGGGCTGGGAGGTGGTGGGCCAAGGGGGCTGGGGACACCCCGGGGGTGGGCAGGTGGAGGGGACCTTCTCCTGCAGATGGTGATAGAGGTGGCGAGGGAGGATGGAGAGCTGCCTTCACCTGGAGGTGGAGAAGCAGGAGAAAGCAAGAGGGCAACCAGTTCCAGTGAGGGGAACGCAGTGCAGGGAAAAGAGGGGTGATCCAGCCTGGCATGAGGGTCACAGCCTGTCCCAGGGGTGACCATGGGAAGAGCAGGACACCCTCATCTCCCATCAGTGAGGAATGGCAGCGGGTGGGACAAGGGTCCTGTCAGGCAGGGGGATGGTTTGTTGGGGATGGTGGGTGGGTAGCGGTGAAGAGCCGCTCTCCTTCCCCACCACCACAGCTCTGAGGCCGGCCAGCCAGGTGGGTAACACTGCTGCCCTCCTTCCCTCGCCCCAGCTCTCCCCCTCATGACACTGCCGGCGTCTTGCCCCACAGCAGAGCCGGCCCATGCAGCGCCCACCTCCGCCCTGGTGCCCACCCTCCCCTCGATGGACCTACACAGCACCCTCCTGATCTTCGGGGTCCCAGCAGCGGTGGGCGTCATCCTGGCTGTGGCCGCCCTCTGGGGCTTCCTGGCTTGCAAGGTGGGGAAGCAGAGGAGGAAGAGGAAGGCAGCAGACGAGGAGGCCGAAGGTAGGGGACCTCTTGCTTTCCCTGTCACAGCATGCTGAGTACCCTGGGGCAGATGGGATCTCTTCCCTCCAGCTCACCTGAGGCACATCCCTGTCAAGGCTAGCTCCTCCACCTTGACAGGGGCTCCATGGTCACCCCAGGGCATTTCGGGGCAACTGAGCCACCCCCTGAGTGACAGTGCCCTGCGTACCCTGGGAACCCACACCTGCAT